AAATAAAATTGTAAAATCATATATTCCAAATCTCTGTCCCATTTTCAGTTTTTGAAGATGAAATTTCCAGGACCGAAATTTTACAGTTTTTACTGAATTTCTCACCCGCAACCAATTAGTAAGTCAACTATAGATGGCATATTATGACACGATTGAGGTGCTGGAAGTTTGATATCGGTCGGAGGAAGCCCACAGCAGAAAGCTTAAGAAAACGAAAAGCTGTATTTTCAAAAGTCTGTCCCATTTTCAAATATGAAATTTTCTGAACACAAATTTGACAGATTAGATGACATTTTTGGCCACAAACCAATTAGTCAGTTAATTTATGATGGTATGAAACCAAATTGGGGTACTGGAAGTCAAAATCCTAAATAAAATTGTAAAATCATATATTCCAAATCTCTGTCCCATTTTCAGTTTTTGAAGATGAAATTTCCAGGACCGAAATTTTACAGTTTTTACTGAATTTCTCACCCGCAACCAATTAGTAAGTCAACTATAGATGGCATATTATGACACGATTGAGGTGCTGGAAGTTTGATATCGGTCGGAGGAAGCCCACAGCAGAAAGCTTAAGAAAACGAAAAGCTGTATTTTCAAAAGTCTGTCCCATTTTCAAATATGAAATTTTCTGAACACAAATTTGACAGATTAGATGACATTTTTGGCCACAAACCAATTAGTCAGTTAATTTATGATGGTATGAAACCAAATTGGGGTACTGGAAGTCAAAATCCCGAATAAAATTGTAAAATCATATATTCCAAACCTCTGTCCCATTTTCAGTTTTTGAAGATGAAATTTCCAGGACCGAAATTTTACAGTTTTTACTGAATTTCTCACCCGCAACCAACTAGTAAGTCAACTATAGATGGCATATGACACGATTGAGGTGCTGGAAGTTTGATATCGGTCGAAGGAAGCCCACAGCAGAAAGCTTAAGAAAACAAAAAGCTGTATTTTCAAAAGTCTGTCCCATTTTCAAATATGAAATTTTCTGAACTCAAATTTGACAGATTAGATGACATTTTTGCCCACAAACCAATTAGTCAGTTAATTGATGATGGTATGAAACCAAATTGGGGTACTGGAAGTCAAAATCCTAAATAAAATTGTAAAATCATATATTCCAAATCTCTGTCCCATTTTCAGTTTTTGAAGATGAAATTTCCAGGACCGAAATTTTACAGTTTTTACTGAATTTCTCACCCGCAACCAATTAGTAAGTCAACTATAGATGGCATATTATGACACGATTGAGGTGCTGGAAGTTTGATATCGGTCGGAGGAAGCCCACAGCAGAAAGCTTAAGAAAACGAAAAGCTGTATTTTCAAAAGTCTGTCCCATTTTCAAATATGAAATTTTCTGAACACAAATTTGACAGATTAGATGACATTTTTGGCCACAAACCAATTAGTCAGTTAATTGATGATGGTATGAAACCAAATTGGGGTACTGGAAGTCAAAATCCCGAATAAAATTGTAAAATCATATATTCCAAACCTCTGTCCCATTTTCAGTTTTTGAAGATAAAATTTCCAGGACCGAAATTTTACAGTTTTTACTGAATTTCTCACCCGCAACCAATTAGTAAGTCAACTATAGATGGCATATATGACACGATTGAGGTGCTGGAAGTTTGATATCGGTCGGAAGAAGCCCACAGCAGAAAGCTTAAGAAAACGAAAAGCTGTATTTTCAAAAGTCTGTCCCATTTTCAAATATGAAATTTTCTGAACACAAATTTGACAGATTAGATGACATTTTTGGCCACAAACCAATTAGTCAGTTAATTGATGATGGTATGAAACCAAATTGGGGTACTGGAAGTCAAAATCCCGAATAAAATTGTAAAATCATATATTCCAAATCTCTGTCCCATTTTCAGTTTTTGAAGATGAAATTTCCAGGACCGAAATTTTACAGTTTTTACTGAATTTCTCACCCGCAACCAACTAGTAAGTCAACTATAGATGGCATATGACACGATTGAGGTGCTGGAAGTTTGATATCGGTCGAAGGAAGCCCACAGCAGAAAGCTTAAGAAAACGAAAAGCTGTATTTTCAAAAGTCTGTCCCATTTTCAAATATGAAATTTTCTGAACTCAAATTTGACAGATTAGATGACATTTTTGCCCACAAACCAATTAGTCAGTTAATTGATGATGGTATGAAACCAAATTGGGGTACTGGAAGTCAAAATCCTAAATAAAATTGTAAAATCATATATTCCAAATCTCTGTCCCATTTTCAGTTTTTGAAGATGAAATTTCCAGGACCGAAATTTTACAGTTTTTACTGAATTTCTCACCCGCAACCAATTAGTAAGTCAACTATAGATGGCATATTATGACACGATTGAGGTGCTGGAAGTTTGATATCGGTCGGAAGAAGCCCACAGCAGAAAGCTTAAGAAAACGAAAAGCTGTATTTTCAAAAGTCTGTCCCATTTTCAAATATGAAATTTTCTGAACACAAATTTGACAGATTAGATGACATTTTTGGCCACAAACCAATTAGTCAGTTAATTGGTGATGGTATGAAACCAAATTGGGGTACTGGAAGTCAAAATCCCGAATAAAATTGTAAAATCATATATTCCAAACCTCTGTCCCATTTTCAGTTTTTGAAGATGAAATTTCCAGGACCGAAATTTTACAGTTTTTACTGAATTTCTCACCCGCAACCAACTAGTAAGTCAACTATAGATGGCATATGACACGATTGAGGTGCTGGAAGTTTGATATCAGTCGAAGGAAGCCCACAGCAGAAAGCTTAAGAAAACAAAAAGCTGTATTTTCAAAAGTCTGTCCCATTTTCAAATATGAAATTTTCTGAACTCAAATATGACAGATTAGATGACATTTTTGCCCACAAACCAATTAGTCAGTTAATTGATGATGGTATGAAACCAAATTGGGGTACTGGAAGTCAAAATACCGAATAAAATTGTAAAATCATATATTCCAAACCTCTGTCCCATTTTCAGTTTTTGAAGATGAAATTTCCAGGACCGAAATTTTACAGTTTTTACTGAATTTCTCACCCGCAACCAATTAGTAAGTCAACTATAGATGGCATATTATGACACGATTGAGGTGCTGGAAGTTTGATATCGGTCGGAAGAAGCCCACAGCAGAAAGCTTAAGAAAACGAAAAGCTGTATTTTCAAAATTCTGTCCCATTTTCAAATATGAAATTTTCTGAACACAAATTTGACAGATTAGATGACATTTTTGGCCACAAACCAATTAGTCAGTTAATTGATGATGGTATGAAACCAAATTGGGGTACTGGAAGTCAAAATCCCGAATAAAATTGTAAAATCATATATTCCAAATCTCTGTCCCATTTTCAGTTTTTGAAGATGAAATTTCCAGGACCGAAATTTTACAGTTTTTACTGAATTTCTCACCCGCAACCAACTAGTAAGTCAACTATAGATGGCATATGACACGATTGAGGTGCTGGAAGTTTGATATCGGTCGAAGGAAGCCCACAGCAGAAAGCTTAAGAAAACGAAAAGCTGTATTTTCAAAAGTCTGTCCCATTTTCAAATATGAAATTTTCTGAACTCAAATTTGACAGATTAGATGACATTTTTGCCCACAAACCAATTAGTCAGTTAATTGATGATGGTATGAAACCAAATTGGGGTACTGGAAGTCAAAATCCCGAATAAAATTGTAAAATCATATATTCCAAACCTCTGTCCCATTTTCAGTTTTTGAAGATGAAATTTCCAGGACCGAAATTTTACAGTTTTTACTGAATTTCTCACCCGCAACCAACTAGTAAGTCAACTATAGATGGCATATGACACGATTGAGGTGCTGGAAGATTGATATCGGTCGGAGGAAGCCCACAGCAGAAAGCTTAAGAAAACGAAAAGCTGTATTTTCAAAAGTCTGTCCCATTTTCAAATATGAAATTTTCTGAACACAAATTTGACAGATTAGATGACATTTTTGCCCACAAACCAATAAGTCAGTTAATTGATGATGGTATGAAACCAAATTGGGGTACTGGAAGTCAAAATCCCGAATAAAATTGTAAAATCATATATTCCAAATCTCTGTCCCATTTTCAGTTTTTGAAGTTGAAATTTGCCGCAATTACGTTGTAAGGTTGGCTGTTTTATTCCGTCGTATATACCAAAATCTTGTTAGTACCTTAGCAACAGTAGTCAACACATCTTTCGCAGAGGGGATTTTCCCTAAAGCTTTGAAAACGGCAAAAGTTACACCTATACACAAAGGGGGTTATAAACTTGATGTAGCGAATTATAGACTTATCTCACTCTTGGGCTTGTTATGTGTTATGAAAAACTTATGCTTCATAAACTTAACAACAGTGCATTATTAGGAATTTCTTCAAGTGCCTGCATTTTGAGATTAGCTCGGTCCTGCTGTTGATGGACTTCGGGTTTTTGATGATGATGAGCTTTTCTGTCAGGCACAAGTTGCACGTTTTCACAATTTTTTATCTCGTTAACAAAATTGATTGGGTAATCAATGGTTATCCAATCACTAATCATGTGACAGCTTGTTACAACACCGTAATTGGGCTCTCTCAACGATTCCCATAATGCGGGAAAATGTAATTTGAATGGCCAAACACAATCCAATACAATTTAGCTCCATCCAATTATTCAATTCCTCGAATGAGCGATAATAGCAAGTCATATCAGAAAAAAAAACTCAATCAGGAACTCATTGACTGAGCTATAAAGGCCTGACTTTTGGCCCCAATGGCGACAAAGAATGTTTAGGCTGGAAAATCTCAAGCTTGTTATGGCAGGCACAAATAAACAGGATTTAACTGTACTATGTGATTGGAGAAACCAGTAACATCGGACATCCATGTCCATTGTCCAGAGCACACGTGCTGTATATACTTGATATTTTGATAAATTTATATGAGGTCTTGTTTATACTAGCACTGTTCTTTTTTATACTAAAGATATATTATGAGGTTTAAGAATCATTAAAACCACAAATGATTTTGGTTTGAAATTATAAGGGGATTGAAATCAAAATACAATTGACCTATGTAGAACATGAAATAAATAGCACGTCTCGCTTACTATCTAGGCTAAATGTACTGATCGCACTACGCACACAATTCTTTTGTTTTCACTCAATCAAAAACGATGCAACAAGTTGGAAATAAACTTAACATTTTGAAATAAAAGAAGAGTTTAACGATGCCAAAGTCCGTCGTAAGCTGAGCGAAAAGAGAATAGTAATAAATAATTTAGGTATGGATTTGTGAGCATTAAACTAGCTAGAGCTATACGTCAATTATTTTAGGATCTAATAGATAATATTATAATCAATAGATTTGCTATGGAACTTAACGAATTATGCTTTTACGAATTAGCTAAAGTCGTTAAACAAAGAGTTTATCGTTTATTGAACAGCGCATTCAAAAACGTAAAAGTATATCAATGAAAAAATATGAAGTTGCACCAAATATAAAAAATTATAATAACTCGACGTTATCGAAAAACTTTAGAACATAGAAGATAGAAGATGAATATTGAAAATATGTCATTATATAGCATTTGAAAAACATGCAACAAATAAGTTAGTTTAAAGTTATTTCATGCCACAAAATCACACGACAGGATCATGTAACTTTGACTAATTATTAATTAAATTCCTAACATTAAGAATTTAGTCCCTACAGCTACAATTTTAACTTTCTCTTTACAATTTCGTTGTCCCGATCGATACTTAATGTTAAAGATTCGAATTAAAATTGAAGTATCATTTTAAAGATTTATCTGTTTGTTTGTGACTTTGTTAATCAAACCAAGTCACCACAATCATTTTTCAGTTGATTAGCAAGTTTAAAAGTTCCCTAGATAAAAAGATGTTCGTGGCCAGCACGATTCGCCTAAACTTAATGAAGTCCAGTCGCTGGATTTCCGGAACACGAAGGTTGTGCAGTCAAGTGGAGTGGAGTAGAGTGCTGAGCGTTGCAGTGATGAAATGATGACGTCACGTTTCACCGTCCGACACGGCCTCTTGAATCTCGCTGGGCACCAGGAGTAATTCACAACATTTCACCTTGTGCTCCGTGCTGTTGTCTATGGGGTTATGTCGCATCCTGAAATTAAAACACTCGTCAGAGAAGAGATAATTTTAATTGTGAGTTCTGTAAAACAAGGGGATATGGATCATAGAGATCAGTCGATAACCATACACTTAATTCATATCAACGAGTTCAATACGCTGTGAGTAACACGAAATGAAGGAACATCTTCAAACTACTACTAAATTTCTTGTTGTACACCCGTTTATGTGAAATGTTCAATTTGGTTTTGTCTCCTGTAGAAATCGGGTAAATGTCAAGTAGGTCAAACAATTAAAGTCACAGCTAAGTGGTTTGCAATAAAACTACTTTACTACTTTGAGTACATAAAATAATAAAATAACTGTAAGCATATAGATATCATACCAGTCAGTTTGAAGTCTGTACAATCTGTCCAAAGTAAGCTTATTTATTTGTGTTCGGCCGTCAGTAAAAAATGATCGGGTCAAGAATAAAGAATGTCACCTGATTTGAAAACAGTTGGACTTCTTTGACAGGCGTGTAGTCAAAAGTCGAAGTTCCGGCTAAATGAACTGCAGTAATTGTCACTGGCAGGCTTAAACAACAAGTCACCTGCCAACTGAACAGTTCACATGGTTCATAACCAGCGCGCGGGCTTTTTAAACGACGCGCGCACTGATTTGCGCATGAAAAGACGTAACAGTATTACCGCGTATTCCAGCGAGTTGCTTAATCAAACCTACAGTTGCAGATCTGTAAGTTAGTCAGTAAAAGTTGGGAACGCTTCAAGAATATACCAATAATTCGGTCAATCTCAATTATCAATCAGTCGTACAAAAACCACAAAGGCAGTAAATAGGTAGCCTAACTAGTTCCTTCAAAGTTCTGTCGGTAAAATTATCATACAGCTCCAAGAAAAGCAATTCTAATCTGATTATAAAGTGACAAAACTTGACAAAAACAATAAGATTTAATCGCATTAATTTTGCCCTTAATTCTTAACCCTGTCACAGTCTTTTTTCTCGTTGATCTTATCGATAAGAGCTTCAATGATCCCGTCACTTTGATCGAGAGCAATCAGCTCGCAACATCTTATTCGATACTCCAATTTACCGTCAAGGAAGTCAAGTCTGTATCTGTAGGTTTGGTAATTGTTACTTTTGTAACAGTTATTGTACGTCAATTTCTGTACAGCGGGGTGAAGCGGAAAGTGCTTATCTTGACTTCTAGCACGTTCATTTTCTCTATAGCGAGACAGCGAATAAAAAGAAAAATATTGCAGGAATTCACTGTAATCATGTAATACGTTTTAACTTTAGGTATTCTACGGTAATTACATTTCTTTAGCTTTGAAAATATTTCACATAACTACAGCCACTAGCCGATGTTTGCAATTCAATACTAAATGAACTGTGTGCTACAAAACGCAATGATCTCGAGACACGGAAATGATTGTGATTTTAATTACAAATGCTCAAATGACTCCAAAAATACATAAACAAGGCCACTACTTCACTTTACTTAACTTAACTTTAATACACGTTTTTATAAAGCAATGAAAAAACCTGCATATTTCTGCTCCCCTTTTATTAGTATCCAGGTAAAATTTATCGAGTATAATATTTTGAATTTTGTGCCCCGGGATAGCTTAATCAGTCGTGTCTAAGTAGCCCCACTTAAACCGTTATTCAAAGATAGTCTGATAGTGATGTCTGATAAGAGTATGAATTACTGAATTGCATTTTAGAGACAATGGTTTAATCGGGAAGAATTATCTCTGATTTCAGTCGAGTCTAGGACTAATCCTGTTACAAAATACTAAATACTCTAAATTCTGTTCAAGTATTATCTGACACAATTCCAAGTAGTTTCCTTGTGAAATGTTCCCTGAATTGTAGCTAAATCTCGATAAATGTCATCTTATATTATAGCAGTGGAGTAAAAAAGGTCATCACAGCTACAGGGCTGCGTCATCGTTATTTAGAGGTTAAGAGGGGTCCGATAGGATTCTAATTACGAAGATTAAAACTCGCAGGTTGCACAGAAATCGCGAAATATCTTGTCCGCATGTCACACGATTCTTTATAGTCTGTAAGCCATGACTCGCGATTAATCAAAATATAAAATTGGCAGTGAATAGTGATGGAAGAAAACAATCAATTTAGCCTGATCATTAACGCAAAATCTGTGAAATTTTTGTGTCATCACAATAATTTTTATATTTGGCTTCAGTGGTGACTGGTGGCAGAAAACCTGCTAATATGAATCATCGTGAAAAGACTTGAAAAGTAGCAGTTCACACGGAGTTTTAAACAACAATTCGTGTTAAACATTTGTGCATGGTACTTAAAGTAGCTGTGAATAAAATGGATTTCCTTGAGCCGTGATTCTATGAAGCAGAGCTGAGAAATATTTAAAACCAGCAGTTCCGAAACGGCCGGACCCAGAACGCTGCGTTCATGCTAAAACATCTCGAGTTGATTACTCTAGTGGCAGTTTTAAAGTCTGGAATTTACGAACACCCGAGCTGGATGGCCAGGACATTAGTCGTGGTACATTTATATCGACACACACTTAACCTTCTCCCAGCTACCGGAATTTCTAACCTCCCGAAACTCCTGTAACTCGTGCTGCAGTGAGGCTACAGCTTCTAATCATTGGCACTGGTATCCTACTTGATTGCAACGCTGGAAATCCCGTATAGAAACATACCAGAATCAATATGATCAATCCCAGGAGTGCTATATATAGACGCAGAAATTATTAAGCAGTCAAGTGTCTAGTGTCTACGCTATAATATCGACATTATAATGCTGCAGTTGTCATTGCAATTCGTCCGGGTATGGTAAAATCATTTTAACAGATCCTGATAACCGAAGATGCGTCACTGATATCATCAGCAAACCATCACATACGCTATATTTCAATATCAGGTGTCCTTAGTCTTACTACGTGTTGTATCCTTGAGATTAGGTTTAAAATAATGTTTATTCAATAGAATAAGGCAACATAAATCACCACAGCGGTTACAGCGATGTTGAACATCTGACTCTACCACAGTGGAGGTGGTGGATCATGAGATTTGCATATTTGGTGCGTCACTTCTGGAACCTGATTGGTCAATCACTAAAATGTGTAAAATAAATTTGCCCAGGTATTGGATAGTACTTCATTCCACCTTCAGCTTACAAATTCTGGGGAATTTCTGTCCTCAAACATTCAGGTATTTTCCGAATATTTTTGGGACTAGAACACCGGCCCTACACAGCAATGAGGAGTATTTCGCCAAAAGAGAAGGCATGCGACACATCAGGCCCTACAAAACTTTTACAGATACCTTCCGACATCTATACATCAATATATCCAGCTATTGATCTCCATCAAAAGGGCCAATTGATATCGAATTGATCATTCAATATAAAGGGTGGTGACGAAGAGTTAGTACTTAGTATGCTTAAATAGATGAGGACGATGAAAGTTGCACGTGCACACAGTTCAATACTCCAAATCACGTGACACTAGCTGCCAAAGCCACGTGACAGTGACCCAGCAACAGGAAGTGTGTATCTAAGCCGCGAGAGAAGATCAAAGAGTTGGAGACACGTGAGGCGTGGAAGAATGGGGCCACGACGACTACTTTTAACTGCCCCAGAATGAAATGCACTTAAAGTGGGGGTCAACGGAAACGTCAAACCATGTTTCAGGTTTCAGTAAACTTCTGTATCGTCCTGTTTCAGCGTTGTAGCAACTTATCCGGGCAGAGCGAGACGACGCGAGGAGATGAGGTTGATAAATTTGTCACTCGATAACTTGTCGTAATCTGTTCCCATTATCAGTAATTTGTCCATATTACATAATTACAACTACTCAGTACTCCTTTTTCACCCCACACCCTATTTTTCATCCAACTCTTAGAACTCCTATCTCCACCATACCATAGTTCAGTTTAAGTGGACCAATTAAAAATGAAGACCCTTAAAATATTAAGTCGATAAAAATCTAGCCCTAGATTTTAGATATTTAATGTGTTTAATAGCACGGACCATCTGATGCAAATTATTTCCAAATTACGGGCGATTATCTTAAGTGTTTGGATATTAACTTCAGGAAGGATAAATATTGGAAAGTAAATGTTTTATGCGGAGTTTCAGGTAGGCAAATAATGTGATCTTTATTTGTAGGTCTATCACATTCTTTATATCACTTTCTTTATATAGCACAATCAAGACACCAATATTGGTTAACGTATAAAAAGCAAAATCTTCTACCAATAGTTTGAAAAACTCGACCTCAACCCAACAGAGATAAAATCGATTCTTGATCAGTTAAGAATATCTAAATATTGATTTAAGTGTTTATAGATCAGTCGAGTTATTCAAACTTTGTTTAACAATAACACATTGCAACAAACGAGACGTGTAGGTCCACACAATAGTATACAGCGACACCGCGGTGAACTTACGTCACAAAAATTAATAAGTTATGAAACGAGATCTTTACAAATCCCTGTTTACCATAATGTTTGTATATAAGTATTCTTTAACATCCTTTATATTTATAACGTGTACAGTTAAAAATAAAAATTCTTTCTCTTGCGACCCAAAAATCATGTTTCCTAAATTACTGTTTAATTCCGACATTATCCCTGAAAACCATTAACTTCAACAATTAAATTAAATATTGAAGGAGGAATTAAGATCGAATCTTAAACATAAACAAGGCCATCTCAAATATATACGAAAGATACATCATCAAGCAGGGGTGTACACACAACACCCCTTTACAAGTCAAACTCTCAAACAATCTATCTGGCCGAAAACATCTTCTAAATCTAAGCTTTTTGGCTCTAGAACAATCAAGAAATAACGTAAAAATAAAAATGCAAAAATGTAATGTAGCAAAGTTTATATATGAATAACCTAAGTAAAAATCATCAGACCCAAGTAGGCCAGCATGTCGAATAGCTGATTTCAAAATAAGATGGAACGTTTTGTACCGACTTCAGCTCTTTAAATCATCAAAAGTACTATAAATCTTAATCTTTTCCATCGCTA